AAAATAATTACATTAATTTGATGATGATATACATGTATATACATTATAATATATGATAACTACCGCATTACTGAAACTAACATACCAATTTTATTATTATATTCATTCTTTTAACCATCACTTAAGAGCTTTCTTCACAGTGTGCGCTACTGACAAATGTAATTTAGAAGTAGTGTTTCCTTGTATGTGTGCATGGTCTCTTATTTAACTTCCTTTGTTTCTATTTCTTTTGTTGTTTCTCGAGTAGTGAAATATCTGCCTAAAGTATTATATCAATATTATTTCGATTTGTTTTACTGTCCACGAAAATTAATTGTTATATTTTGTTTTTGGTATGTGAATGAAATTTGACTATTTACATTATGACTACGGTTGTACGTTGTTTCTTAACGTAGGAATGTTCGACATAATAAAATTCAAATAATAGCCTTGAAATAACAATTATTGTTGTGTAGATAGTGTATTTGATATATATATTTTATTTTACGAAGTACATGTATTTCAGTTTCTTTTTCTATATAACAGAAGTTGTATCTTATAAATACAATTTAGACTGGTGAGAGAGACTTCATTTTCAGATATTCTCCAGTATAATATTATCACTATTTTCCTCTCATAGACAGTTACACAACACTATAAGTTATGTCGTATCTTATGTATGTTATGTTAGATATCATTTTTTGTTTGGTTTGGTAAATTAATACTTTTTTCTGAATGTATCACAATATAAGATGTTTGAACTTAGAAGCCAATCAACTGACTGAGAGGTTTAAAGAAATAGTTTTATCTGAAATTGTTGTAAGTGCACGTTTGAATCAAATAACACACATTTTCCCCTCATATAACGATAAAGAATCAAGTTGATTTTGTCATAAAGTATCATATGTAATTAAAACGTCCCGGGTAATGTCTCGTGCTCGTATATATGACACATATAAAATATTATTATAAAACTACTGGTACCTCGATGCTCTAGAACATCACGCGAGAATTCGTATGTAAATCTCGTGACTAGACTGCAATGACGAGTATTTTAGTCATTAACGAGAACTTTCTCGTGATTGTTTTAAAGATGTGTAATGAGATATACGGTCACCAAATATGTATAATGTGAATAACATAATGGATTTAAAAGAAAATGTATCTTTTTGACAATTTTAAATGAAATATTTCTGCCTATATTTCAACCAATAATAAAGCGCCATTAACACGAATTATAAACATATTTATTTTTTTATTTTAGTGGAACCATATCTTTATAACCATATATTAGTTTATAAAAATGGAAGTTTGTTTGTTTGTTTCATTTTACGCCTTTTCCCAACAGTATTTCAGTCATATAGGCGGGGTAGTTTCCTAACCATCGTTCCTGGAGAGTTACACCAGTACTAGACTACCTTTCTCCGTGCTAAACTGCCAAAGCCCGGGGATCGAACCCACGCCAGAGAGGTAACTGGATTAGAAGACATCGACTCTAACCCCTCGACCACGGAGACGGTCAAAAATGGAAGTAAATGTGTTTTATGTGGAATATAATTATATTATAGTTACGATGATCATTGATTTTTAAAATTAACAAAGACATAGCAGGCATGCTCACGTGCCAGAATAATCAAAATGTAGTACATATACAAAATAATGACCATTAAACACCGACAGTTACTGTGTCTGACCATTTACCAGTAGTTATCATACAAGTCACTATTGTATGGGAGATAAATGCTTTTCTTGTCAGTGTCGTTTTTATTATAATAGTTACCTCCCTTTATTCACGTTTGTGACTATCAGAAAACTAAAGATGATGTAACGAGATAATAAACATGTATATTAAACTACTTTCAATATGTCATGACCCTACAAAGCTGAAATTATCTCATCTATAGCCATGCATCTATATTAATTTTGTATTTCTTTGGAAAATGTATGTCTACATTTAGAAAATGTCCAGTATCAAATATATAAGATATACCTACATAACCCTACATAATTATATACACAAGAAAATTAGAGAATTGTCTTCTTCTTTATATATCCATGATGTGTCGTCCTAAATAAAATCATTAGCTACTTTAAAAATACATGAGCGTAAAAAATATAGTAGGAAACCAGTATTACTTCTCCTTCTGTACGGAAGTTGATTGTGTTATTGTACCGGAAGTTTCAAATGACCATAAATCTCTTGTATTCCTAGAATTTTGTACGCCATGTCAAATATTACTCTTAAAATATTAAAATAGTACTAGCACCGTCACAGGTTTAATTAACTATACATAATTATATATTAGTATTTAGTATACCAGCATTATTTGAAACGTCTTTTGTGTAGGTTTTGAATGGTTTAAGTAACTATAAATTCTTTGTAGCAACTATCGGTTACCTTTCAAAATAAAAATAGTAAATTAGAAATCTTTATTCAAAAAATAATTGATTAAAGTATTTGTTCGTCTGTTTATTTCTTTCTTTTATCAAAAATGATGTAAATCTATAGACTTTATTCTTCCCGTACTACAGCTTTGAGGTATGGTCAGTAGATTGATGTACGTACTGACGGACGTTGATTCACATTGGTCTTTCTCAGTACTGCATTAATTAATATCCTTCAAATTTTATCATGGATTTCGTATTGGTTTTCCCTATTTTCCTTTTTCATTGAGTTAAACACCTTGGAACAAAATTAAAAGTAAGGTTTTTGCACGTTTGTATTCCCGGTCGTTTGATTTCTTTGTCATTGTGCTGATAAAAATCATATTTTTTACTTTGTCATACCTGTTTTTGTTGTGTTTTTTTTTTTCGGAAATACATTCTAGTATGTCATCATCGTTATCATGTGCGTGTTGGACAGTTTGTTTACATGACTACTATATATACATGTATAAACATATTATAAACAAATAGTTTACTGTTTATGTGTCAAGTAAAAATAATGTTGACCAAGAGTAATGTAAGATAAAAAAAATACCCGACGGGAAAAGGTTTCAAAAAAAAATTTTAATGTGGAAAACCAACCGATTATTGTAGCATTATTCATTTTGAACGTTGTATTTTTCTTTTAGACATCGCGGAGATATGAGAACACTTCTAGAACGGAGCGTTATATAAACTTACCTGTATTGGAATGAATCTATTTTGATGGCGGGTGCTCAAAAGAAGACAAAAAATATTGAAAATGGCAGTTTTTTTTCAAGGAGAATTTTCTTTACAAGACGTCGACATAGAAAAACAATTCGAAACACAACTAAATATTTCTGATAGCAATACAGTCCAAGCTGTACATGAAACGGAACATCCGGTTGTAGATGAAATATCTGGAAATGTAACATCAAAGCATGCTAGGTTGGAAAGTGCAAATGCTGATTTAAGGAAAATACCTAGAGGCGTTGACCAAGATAGGATGTTCACACAAGATATAGATGGCGACACAGCATTACACAATGCTATAATCTTAAAAGATGAAGAGACAAGTATAAGACTAATAAATTTAGCACCGACACAAGCCTGGCTTTCATCTCGAAATTTGTTGTTTCAGACACCTTTACACTTGGCAGCATTAACTGACCAAACACATGTCTTAAAACATTTAATAATTGCGGGAGCGGATGTAACATTTCGAGATAAACACGGTAATACTGCATTACATATTGCATGTCGGGATGGATTAGTACGAGTCGTAGAAACGCTATTAACACCAGCGCCGAATCTGATGCCCCAACATCTCTGGGATGGTGTACAATACCAGCAAGAACCGCCAAACTTCGGTATACATAATTACGACGGACTCACTTGCCTACATTTAGCTGCAGTGAATAAACATTTGAATATTATTGAGACATTGGTCAAATATGATATTAATCTAAACATGAAGGACCTTAAAACAGGTAAAACAATACTGCATGGTTCATGCGAGAGAAATGATACTGAACTAGTTTCATTTTTATTACGTCACAGAACATGTGACATCAACGCGAGGACTTATTGTAACAGTACACCGTTTGATGTGGCTCGAGCCCGGTCTAATATTGTGATATGCGAGGCACTGGCTGCTGCAGGAGCCAAGTATGGCCAACAGTCGGATTCCGATTAAATACGCTGACGCCGTTTGTCTAAAAGTAATGAAATAATGTTTATTAAAGGCACATTATTCCTAAAAACGATTTTTTTTCTTTATCTCATATGAATTTCATAATGTATATATAGATAATGTTTAAATAATGTTTAAGAGTATGCCAGATGCTTATAGTCTGAAAAAGTGAAATAAATGTGAAATAATGTTTCATAAAAGTAGCAAAATGTAAACCAAGCTGTATTTTGACTTCCATACAAAATATCAATTCACTTTAAATGTACTAATTGGGGAAATAAAGCATATGAAAAAGAAGGTTCCGGTAATTGTCAAATGAGTATAAAAATACACACAAAAATATTTTTAGAAATCAAAATAAAAGCATTTGCGAGTTATAATGGGCCTTTAATTACATGTTTAATAATAATCAATGCAGGAGGACGTTTATCTAGCATGTCATACTAGTATTTGATTTGCTTGTTACATGAAAATAACCTCGGGTTTTACCTTTATATCTTTTCAATTTGAAATGAACTTTTAGACTAAGTATTAAAGTCATACATTATTGGCGTCTTTTAACTTTTTCTTCACGCGAGCTTCTGTAAAATAAAGTGAAATTTATTGCTGCTTTATTAAACCGGTGCAAACACATGGTATGACTTTTGCATGAAAAAAGAAAGAAAGTAATCTTAATATCAACTCGATGAAATGGGGGAAGTAAACTGTAGTAAAACAAACACCGTCACAATTCTTGGTATATTTCTATAAGAAATCGAAAGTACATTCCGATTTTTTTTCTTTATAAAGTGCATAAATGTTTTATTAATGTTAGAAAAACGATTAGCAGCTCGTAAAATACGAAATGAAGATTCAAAATTGTTTAACAAATACAATTAAAGTCCGTTCATTTGTTTTATCATGCTTCTCATGAAGATCTATGAAATACAGAAAGAAAAACAATCATCAAAATAGTGGTTTTATTTATTTTACTCTTTGTTGCAGATAGTTTTATAAATACATTTACGTTATTTTTTGTTTGTTTGTCTGGAGGGGCCTTCCTCATTATATCATGTCTGCTACATCTGTATATAGGCGCACTGATTTATTCTTAAATATTCTAACATAGAGCATGGTTTTATTTATCATGTAAATAGTCATTATTATAAAATGCTATATATATTTATGTGCTTTATACATTTGTAGTCTACTGTAATTCTGTATAGAATGGTTATATACATGTTCTTATGATATATTTAATGTTGTTTTATATTGTATCATGCATATAGATGAGACTTTAATAAATAAATAAATCTGTAAACCATTTTAAAAACTTATAGTTGAAATATTATCACACACCGATGTAAGCTCTGTTAGGGTCCATTCCATACCACAAACTGATAGCTTTGTCTTTAAAATCTCATGTGTGTTACATTTTTTGTATATATAAAATATATATTGTTCTTTGTTGAGGGCCTCATAGAAGATCGATCAATATTTTGTTCAAATGTGTTCTCTCGTTAAATAAAGTATTATTATTATTATTATTATTATTATTATTATTATTATTATTATTATTATTTCTATTATTATTATTATTATTATTATTATTATTATTATTATTATTATTATTATTATTATTATTATTATTATTTCTATTATTATTATTATTATTATTATTATTATTATTATTATTATTATTATTATTATTAATAATAATAATAATAATCAACAATAACGCACTCAAAATTGATTTACATGTACATGTATATAATTATCCGGATAAACTAATTTTAATATCGGATGTGACACTTTGCCATGTAAACTCGTTCATGGTATTGGGTATAAGTAACAAACAGAAAATAGAAATTTTGTATTTTTTCTTTTCCTTTCAAAAACAAAACCTGTAACATATAGGCATATTTGTGTCGACATTACCTTTACTTTTTCTTCACTCTGGGGATTCCTTATAAAAAATATCCGTACGTTTAAAAATAACTTTATTATAATATTATGGTAAAATCGCTGGATACTCCAAACTCAATATGAAAATTTCCACATAGGGTTTTCCTGTCAACACAATGAAATTGAAATAAGTATTATTTTCAAAGGATTTTAAAGGAATAGGTAATATATTTGCAATATTTGAACATATACGATTAACTTCTGTTGTTATGTTGTTGTTTTCCTTTTATTTGTAATGAAGAATAATTACAAAAATCGTAGCATCATATTTCGTATTATATATTGTATATATTGTCAATCTGAAGGAAAAAAATGAAAATGTTATTCTCTTCTACAGAATGTTATGTTTAATGACTTTCCACTTAATCGATCTAAAAGAATCACATGTAAATTTTCGACGTTTGAATATTTCATATATGTGAGGTACCTACCATACAATCATGGTCACTCATGTAAATGTGTATTTCCTCATATTTGTAATTTTAAAAAGAAAAAATGATAAAAAATTCTGAACTTGAGAGAAAGAAAAAATAATACCAACATTTTGTGATTATTTTCAGTTTTAAATTTGATTCAGCCAAAATAAAAATTTACTTATTAAAATATTATAAACTTTTCATAAATGTGTTCCTTCTTTATGTATGAAAGTAAGCATGTGTGTATGTATTAAGTGTCATCAGGCCTGTAAAACATGTAGATGACGTCAGCTGTCAGATAAAAAGGTGTACATGTAGTTACGTTTTTATCGGACGCTATTTAAAATTTAGAGGCGTGTTACCGCGATAATTATTATATACAACAGCTAGTATTCAGTACATTTAACTAAATAGAGAATATTCAAGTTTTTCTATAAATACTGGAATTATTTTCATTGAGTGGTATGAAAATAGTTCATGAGTGGTGCAGCCGCGAGTGAAAAGTGATTATTTTTATACCACAAGATGACAACAATTTCTGTATTTAATGAACAATTTGAATTTTCTGTTTATTATATAATTTTTTCTCTTTCCTTTTGACATTACAATTTGAAAGACTTCCCTTTTAATGTTGTGTAATAACTGAATTTAAAAAATAGTAGTCCGACAAGAAACCAGTGAAAATACGGGAAATATGTTCACTGCAGTGAAAAATAGATTTTTACAGTGAAAATACGAAAAATGAAAATACGCATTTTATTTCATCATATAAACACAGGAATATAAGGTTGCTTGCTACATAATGTTCATATAAGGTGCAAATAGCACAGAGTATATACTTAATATTATACTGACCTCTCGGTCATCCTTAAAAAAGGACATCAGACTTTTACATTAAAAAAAAGACGTCGGCTTTTACCTATGGTCCGTTAAATGTTTGCGAGGTGACTTGACTGATGGGTCACAAAAATGCTATGAAGCCATCGGTGTGTGCACTTTTTCTTTAATATGATGTATATATAACTCCGACATAATGATAAAAAATTAGGGAAGAAATAGATAAAGACATCATAACATAATTATTTACAAAATGCTTTGTCGTGTTTAATTATTCATGAATTTTAGAATTATCTTGAAAAAATCTAAAACTTTGCAGATCTATTGTTGCCATGGCAACGATTGCACATGATGAAATATTTAGCCACGATAAAGACGGGGACACGGAGCTGCACACTGCAATAATACTCGGCAAAACTGATCTGGCATTATCTTTGATATCAATCGCAACATCTAATACAAGTCTTTCTTTAAAGAACAACTTGAACCAGACACCTTTATATTTAGCAGTGATTCTCAATCAGCCGGAAGTTGTTAGAAGGTTAGTTGTTGGTGGAGCGGATGTGACGTCACGATACAGTAATTCAAATACCCTTTTGCATATTGCATGCCACAAAGGCTACGTGTCCGTAGTTATTTCATTGATAACTCCTATACAACGTAGTGAGCTTCAACAACTTCCGTATGAAACTTATCATCAAAAGATACCCCAAGATTTCCGCATTTGTAACAAGGATGGACTTACATGTCTCCATTTGGCCGCTTCACAAAGACATTTCAATGTGCTGGAACTGTTGATTAAATATGATGCTGATGTCAATATGAAGGATGGAAGGTCATGTAGGACTGTCCTCCACGAGGCTTGTGAAAAAGGTGATATAAAAATGGTTCAATTCCTGATTCGGAGTGAAATAAAATGTGATATAAATGCACGTACACGTGACGGAAAAACACCGTATGACCTCGCACGTTCCAGAGGTCACGAAGATATTTGTTTAGCTTTAGCTTCAGTTGGTAAAGGGGCTATATTGGATCAAGAAGAAGACTGACGGTCAACTTGGCGAGATAAAACAATTCAACAATAGTATAAACATAATGTTCATTGAAACTTAATGAACAATAGACATTTATCAACGAAAAAAACATTTTTTGTACGTTTAGTTTAAAAGTACAGTGCACATGTATTTGTTTTAACTCGGCTTGAAGCTTAAAATAATCATTTTCGAGTCCACCTCCTGGAACTAGCAACTAGTAATCGTGGTGTCATGTCAGGAAATATGGTTGTGATGAGAGAAGGGCTCGAACAAACGATCCCTGGGCAGCGGCAGATACCGCAACCACTAGCTTTTCTCTCTCCTTTGTACATTTGATAAATGATATATGTTGTAGAAGTATCAATAAATAATAATGTATTTTTGTATTGCATTGTGAAAATATATCTGGCACTGATGACACTCTACTGTGTTTGTATCTCTCTTGCTTTAAAACAACAGCCGTGTCCCTCAAATGTTACAATTATTGTATGTAAATATACACTAAACTTTGTGCTACACTGTACTGTACTGCATTACCCCCCCCCTCCCCCCTGCACCTCCCTAGGAGGAATGGGGGTACGTGTTTCTTTTTAAATATATCATTATGCCTGTTTCACCTTAACATAAAGAGATAAAATAGCAAAAACTATGCAAGGACAAAATTTAGTGGCGTTCAATAATTCGTAACTCAGGATTCCGCAAAAAAATATGAATCATTCTTGCAATACTGTAATCATTGATACATAGTTGTAGTAGTGGAAAGTGGGGAAATTACCGGGACTGTACTCATAGATTTAAAGAAAGCCTTTGTTTTGGTTGATTATGAACTACTTCTACATGAACGTGATCGTCAGCTTTTTATTTTGAAAATTCCGTAAAGTCTTTTATTTACATTGAGAAATCGTTCAAAAACACTAATCTGGCCTGAAATCCAAGAAAATCGAAATGTATGGTGATAGGAACAAGACCAAAAATAAAAAATAACTAGAAGATCTTACGCTAAAAATGAAATGGTTCTTGAAAATGATATTAAAGTTCTGGGTATTTGCATATATAATTAATATTTTAAAATGGCACTTGCAAATTGACAATGTTTGTTCAAAAATACTCAACGGAATAAAATGCTTTATTGAAATAACATCATATTTTTGCACTTTGATATGAAGTTTATGTTTAACAATGTATATATTTTGCTCATTATGGATTATTGCTATAATATATGGGGTAAAGGTTACATAAACTACATCAATCATGTTTGTAAATGATTAAAAAGAATTGCTAAGTTCATTTTACAGCAACTCCAAAGATCTCCGTCAATGTACCATTCTTGAAAGCTCTTAGCTGGTTACCGTTCCTTGAAAGATGTAAATACCACAAGGCGGTTCTTGTTTTTAAAAACTTTAAATAACATGTCACTAAAGTATAAGACGGCATTGATAACTTTATCAGACAACGAAATTTGAGATTAAGCTCACGACAAGATAATATATTGTATCATGCATAAGACCTAAAACAAATCAAAAACACGTTTTCTTAGCATAGCATGGACATTTTGAACAGTATACCTTTAGATATTTTTAAATGTTGTAAAGAAAAATAAAAAACATAGCTTGATGTTAATATATGAATGAACGAACGAATGAACGAACGAATGAACGAACGAACGAACGAACGAACGAACGAATGAATGAATGAAAAATTCGTTTAAACAAACTGTTGAGTGTCTGTCGAATGTATATGAATGAGCCAATCACTTTGATAATTCAATTAAGTTTTACACATTATACATGTTCTGTGAAATTAAGAAAGAAAGAAAGAAAGAAAGAAAGAAAGAAAGAAAGAAAGAAAGACAAAGAAAGAAAGAAAGTATTTCAAGAAAGAAAGAAAGAAAGTCTTTCAAGAAAGTCTTTCAAGAAAGAAAGAAAGAAAGAAAGAAAGAAAGAAAGAAAGTTTGTAGATAGAAAGTTTTCTTTCTTAATATATCATTATGGCTGTTTCACCCCCTAAACATCAAAATGGTAAAATAGCGAAAAGTATGGAAGGAAAATATTTAGTGGCGTTCCATATTACGTTATGGAAAAACCAGAACTACGTATTGATTAATAAATGCTATAAATAGTATAACTATTTTGAACCATATCGTCAAACATCGTTTATTATGTTACAATATTCTCAAGTGCGACGGATATGTTAATTTTCTTTAAAACAATTACTTTATTTCAGTTAAATATATAGAAAATAAATATTGATCAAGCGGGTTCACCATTTTAAATATAGTTTTTTTTTAGAATTAAAACGTTGCAGGTAAAGGTGGGTTCATTTAATTAATAAAACATTCGCTGTTTGATTTAATTAATTATAGTATCGTCGCTTTCACGTTCATATAATTCATATTCAGAGCTGCTGTCCGTTCATGGAGAAATTTTATTTTCCCCCTCGAATAAAGGAAATTTGCTGTATTAAAATTTCGTAATAAAGATTCTTGACAAGTTATATGGCCGTATAAAACTGTTATTAGCAATATAACACTCACCTAACAGCTCGGTTATATATGCAAATAACCGCTTGTATAGGGTCATATAACCTGTTAGAAAAAAAATATAATCATATTTGTCACGCCTAAATCCAATGCATTCCAACGAAATTGGTCACAAAATACATACATTGAAATATAATTAAACATCACGTAATCATCAAAGTTCACATTATTTAGTAGCAAACTAACTATCTATCTATCCTTGTCATGAAAATGTATGTAATGCTATTTAATAGAAACATGTGATACATTTAGAAACCAATCCCCTTTAACCACACTATAACTTCGAGTACGTTTTAATGTGGTCTGTCAAAACAATATGGAAGTAAAATGTAAAGCTATATAATAATTATTTTTAATTTATTTGATTGTTTGTCTTACAGTGATATTGAGTTCCTTAAATATAGTTCTCATGGTATGCTTATAATGTTTATTTAATCTAATTCCTTAATCAGCTCTAACTTGTCAATATATCCAAGCGTGTCATGCTTGCGCCGTGTAAAGCTTAATCAAAACATCATATAATGAAATTAAATTTGTCTGATATTTTTGGACTTTTTTCAAGATATTTTTATCCACAAACATAATGTCTATCGCCATAAACATTAATAACGGTGTGTACATATACCTATTAACATATATAAACAAATACACATAAAACATGTAAATACGAGAACAATATTATACTGTATTTATAACATCACAGTCATGAGATAAATACTATCAAAATACAAGAAGTAATATTTGACATTAGTTGGATTGTTCCTCTAGCTAAAGTTGCATAATAAATAAATTTAGAAAATATCTGTATAACATTTTGCTGCGAGTTATTCATAGATTTCTTCCAACTTTTTTTACAATTGGCCATTATTTTAATTGGTATAGATATTCACTAATAGATCAATGTAATAAGGACAAACAAGTAAAAATGATATTCGTTTGAGACAATTGTTTCACCCAAGCATACAAGTTTTTATGTCGTTGTTATTTTTAATTATTAAGACTTTTATCATCTTAAAAAAAACATCATTTGAAGGCCTATTGCAGTTTAACATATCATCAAAACTGACGTCTTGTAGTTAACAGTTATTCACCAGTTTTGACAGTATAAATGTAGTTTGTATAATATTTGTAATATCAAGTTATCCTAAAACTCCTAAAAACGGTGAAAACAACACCATAATGTGTTAATGTGAGACATGTGTAATAATCATTATTGTAAAATGTGTATACTTAACACCTCAGACTGACCATTAGTAACATATGCTAACGAAGCATTATATAAATTCATTTTGAGATTTTTTTTTCAAAAAATAAAACTGTATGCACATTGTACATAATTACCGTTTAATGGTATTTTAACAAGCTGCTTATATAAGCCAACAATTAAATGAGATAAAGTTCTTTTTTTCTATTAACCGAAATACACACATGGCCTAAATTTTTGGTAAAATGTAAGTGAAAAACATCACTTTTCCATTACTACATCAAACAATTAAGCGGGGAAACCGAACATTGATAAATACAAGAAATCCCCTTCACGTATCTTTCAGAACAATATGAACGGTCAACATCGATGGAGAGAGAAAATGTGAATCATTTATGCCAGCAACAGAATACAAGTCAAGGTGAAACGAATAGGAAAAAACACTTCGCTGCTTGTTCTGACATATTGGAATACGTTGACGACACTCGAGAGGACCAGTGCTCGGACAGGATGACATTTGATATAGACGCTGTAGATATTTATTCTAAGGACAAAGACGGTGATACGTTATTACATATAGCAATTATTCTACCTATAACAATGTATATACAGTTATTTATTTCAAAAGCACCAGGTCGTAAATGGTTGTCTTTGAATAACTTGTTATTCCAGACACCTTTACACTTAGCCGCTATTACTAATCAACCGGAAGTTGTAAGACAGTTAATAGTTGCGGGAGCGGAAGTGGAATCACGTGATAGAGAGGGAAATACAGCTTTACATATAGCCTGTCGTGAAGGATTTCACCATGTAGTACAATGTTTGCTACGACCTGTATCAGAGAGTCATCACAACTGTCTACGTATAACAAATATTCCTCAAGATCTGTCTATAAAAATTACGATGGTGTTACATTTCTTCATTTAGCGGAGTCAAAAAACCAACATTTATACATCATAAATTGACCTCATTGCCAGTGGTATTAATGTTAATATGAAGGAAGGTAAAGCAGGTAGAACTGTACTGCATAATGCTTGCCAAAATGGTAACATTACTCTTGTCAAGTTATTACTAAAACAAAGAAATTGTGATATAAATGCACGTGCCTATGATGGTAGTACACCATTTGATTTAGCACGAGCAAGAGATCGTGACATGATCTGCGTGACACTGGCAGCCGCAGGAGCAAAATATGGAGACGACAATTCCGACTCGGATGAATGAAATATTTCCTCAGATAGTTTGCATGTTGAAGAAAGCATATCCTCTATCTTCGGCGGCCTGATTGTCATGATACTTAAACAATAGTATCGTGTAAATACAAGTGACATTTATGAACGTTTTGCTGTGATTTTAACTATTTTTCATACATACAAATAGTATTATAATAACGGGTAACTTTTCGTATATATATCGCATGTTCTTTTATTACGGGAAATGTTTTAACCATTGTTAGCTGCATGCGTTGTTGATGAGTGTCCGTGAATTGATAAGATAATGTTCACAGTGTTATTCATTGTCAGGTTTTCAATCGGAATAATTAAGTAGTATAGATATTATGTAGTAGTTTAAACATTCAAAATTTATGAAAAAGTAGAGATATAAATATATGTATCAAGTACTATAACTTTTTTAAGATTACAATAATTATTATAAACTTGACTTATATACAAAGAATGTGTCAAAAGGAGAAAGCGGTATATATATTTAGCATTTGGAATGTAAATAAGGAAATGAAAAACCACTATTTAGGAGTGGATATATAAATACATGTAACTATCTATAAACTCATGTCTGTATTGTTTTGTATTAATTTTATATAGAGCTATTAAACATGTAAGAAAGGGTGATCTAAAAGTTGTTGCGGTCTTGGATCAATATCTCAAGAGATGTTAAAAAAATAAAGTACATTTAATGAAAAATGAACAAGTATAAGAGAAGTGTGTTACAAGTAGAAGGTGGTGCATACATATTTCTCTGTTTCGAGTTCAACAGACCATGTTATTTTACACTACCCGCCATCATGGAGTGTGTGTAACGTACATGTATGTTCTGATGTAAATACTAACTGAGTCATGGATCTATAATCAAAATGATGAATCAAACTGGTTACATTGTGTATTTTTATGTATGTGTGATTATATGCCTTCGTCTCAGCTGTATATACGGAAATCCAAGCGCAGAAAAACACGATGTTAAAACAATTCTGGTATTCGGTGGAAACGGATTTATTGGTAGTGCTACGGTGGAGAAACTGCTACGCGGTAATTACTCTGTGGTTGTAATCAACCGTGGAAACTGGTACTGGGATACTGAAGAAACAGTTAAACCGTTTGTAAAACACGTGAAATGTGATCGCATGCAATCATTACAACGCTGTGCAGGTCTACAGCATTACATTTGGAGTTTAGAAGCGCCGCCATTGTTCGAGGCCGTGATTGATTTTAGCGCATATCACGCTTTTGAAATATCCGAGGCTTTAACAATACTTAAAGATAAAATTAAGAAATATATTTACATAAGCAGCGACTCAGTGTATGAAGTGTGCGAAAAGCATCATCACGGATTAACACGAGAGGAAGACGCCGTGAGACCAACTGAAACGGCTGAGCGCAACATATTCAAACAAAAAGACGACTATGGTAACAGTAAATTAGAGTGCGAAGAAGAGTTAGAAAAGCAAGCCACTTCCGGTACAGGAATACCCTACATTAGTCTTCGGCTACCGGATGTAGTTGGACCACGTGACAATACTTACAGGTGGTGGATATACCAGTTGTGGATACGTCTTGCTGACTTCACGGATAAACGTCTTGCAGTACCGAAGTATCTGTGGAATCAGCCAATGAGCTTGGTGTACGTTTATGACGTGGCTGACGTCATTAGTGACTGTATAACGAGCGGTGAAGACATTTATAATAACGCTTATAATCTCGCGCTAACTGAAACACCAACTCTCGTGCAGTTATTGCACGGGGTAATGAATAGTCTGGAAGTTGAGGATGTAGATATAATTGAAAATTCCGAGGAGGAAGGATTTCATTTATTTCCGTCCGTAAAGTTAGGTCCTCTAGATACAACGAAGGCAAGGCGCCTTTTAAACTGGAATCCTACATCATGGATTGACGTTTTAGATCATACAGTACATTTTTATGAGGAGGCAATTCTTGAAAAGAAATTTGATGTCGCGAGAAAAGACGTTATAAGGACGATTCAACAATATTTTTCACATGATTCTGCCAAAATAATGAGAGGTTTAAAACACGAATATGGACTGACTTTCGACTCCGCCCATGATGAGCTTTAACTCCAAATATAAATCTCTGTTTATAGTGAAACCAACTGACTGACATGTGCTGAAAGTATGATATTGTGAAGCTTAAAGCAGTTACATTAATCCATACATGTGGAGTGCGAGTTCTAAATGTTTCTACCTGTAACACAGTTACAGTTGTGGCTAGTCATTTGTTGCAGTGTAAATGCATGTGTTCTATGAATAAAACAGTGTTGCCATTACATCATCAGATACATGTGCACTTAAAACTCTCTACTTACTACAATATATAGTCAGTTTTAAAGACAGTTTTTATGCTATAAAACAAGGAAATAAGTGGTATATATTGAGAAAACATTAGTTATTATATTACCTTATTATTTCAAAGTGATTGAATTCATGTACACGTTGTTGTGGTTCTTACTGTATTACAGAATTCCACTAGCACATCATTTTCCAACTCTTGAACTATTTCAGCAAATCAGCATTTAATGTTTACTTTTAACTACCTACATCTAATTATCAAAAAGACCACCAGGACACAAGCAGTATTACCAGTATCACATATAAAGGTACATTTATATATGGTATTACAGTATTACAGTCAAGAGTACCCTATATCGCAAATTTTAGGGTTATTTCTTACTTGCACCTTTCTATGATATTTTTTAGAAATAAATTTTACATCTTGATAAGTTTTCATCTTTTTTTTTCAACAAAAATTATGACTTACCGTGCATGTAGTTGGAAAGATAAATAAACAGCCTATGTTTAAATTTGAACATTTGTTTGATTATATAAGCTAAGGGGTGTCTTGACTTAAGTAAGTCAACTTCAAAAGACATACACAGCATTACATCATTCAGGATAATTTGACATTTTAAAGAAACATTTTACAGGCCTTTACCGGAAATTTACTGGAAAAATATCTTTGTATTATCTACATTTTTATGATGTGTAAACGTTAAAATGCTCACTTTCTTTACCAAAAAATTACTATAGATGAGTGTAGGTACAAAGAAAGATTGGGTGTAGGTATTTTATTCTTTAACATGGGAATCCGCTTGTGTGTATGTTACCATCTTTTGTGGGTTTTTTTTTTTTGTTTTATTGGATTTTACGTCACACTGACACAGTAAAGGTCCAGCGGAAGACTTCAGGTGCCCTTCCGTGCATTATTTCAGACAAGAACGTGTATCCGAGTAGAACCAGCGACGTTCCGTTTCTCCGTGTCTAGCGAATATCCGAAATATAATCCAGTCCAACAAATATAACTAAAACGTATTTATAGCGAATTATTTTAACTTGGAAATATTAGATTCTGTAGCCTGAATTATTTATAGCTTTAAATTCTGCAAAATGATTTTTAATATCTACATGTATTTAAGTCTACATTTGTTGAGCCTTTCATATGTCAACGGGGGGGGGGGGGTGTATTTAATCTGTCAACAAATAAAACAAGTTCATTTCCATAATACAACAGTTACACCCCTGTTTGTGTCATGTAAGGGATTTCGGGTGTGTTTGGTAGCAACTGTCTACATCTATCCACAACACAGTCCGGCGTAATTTCTTCTTTTTAACTGTATTACCAATGTTTAAGTTTTGGGAAAGACATTATAACTGGCGGACAGACTAACATAATTAACCTCCCGACTTATTTGATATGGGTCATAAAACGATTTTTGCAGCTAGTGTCCCAACCTATTTAAATTTGCACCACTCTTACAAAACATTTAATACTACATGTATGCCAACATTTTATCACAAAACATGGTATAAGTGTGCATGATTCACGTGTATCAAGCTAGTGCACTCATGTCTTAAATATGAAACACAGATAAGTAAACACAGAATTACCTATTTAAACTTATACTTTCATACAAGATTAGCTCTAACGCACTTTTTTCATGCGTTAACATCTGCAGAAGTCCTCAGATTTATTAAATCACTCGCCCTGCGTTCTCGTGTTTCTGCAGATATTAATGCACGAAAAAGGTGGATTCGCCCTCTATTAGTGTCTGATATAGTTTATCCAGATCATAGAAATAAATAAAAACTTCATCATTGTACTTGTGATATAAAATTACTGACCAAGTTACTTGTACCATTTGATACACATTACAAAATAATATAAAAACTTTCATTCCTTCAAGCCAGTCTTTTCTTGTCTGATCTAATCCTTTTACATGTATATACAAAACAATTACTTTCCTTCAAGTGGTTCTCATACTGAATGTTCCCTGCTTGAAACAAACCATGATGTCATTCAGCTGATACACTGTGCAGTATTTACACAGTTCGTGTTACTTCAGATAAGTTTCAAATTGTCAAAGTATTTGTTTACAAAATATATAATTTATATAAATAACTGAACACACCGTGACTCCTTCAATTACTTCTTGACTGTCTCATAGTTTTATACTGACTTTCTAGCTACCAGCAACATGTTACAGGTGATAAACATGTTATTGTTCATATGCTCAATATATGAATTCAAATTGGTATTGAAACTGTGTAGACCATTTTTTTCAAATAATGGTCTAAGGGAGACAACTCAACTAATTTGTCATAACCAAAATAAAGTCAAATGAAGTCACGACAAATTTATTTATTCAGGAATGATGTAAGTTTGAAGCTTACTGTTATATTATCTTAACAAAAATTAATCATCTTAAACAAATACAGTGTTCTCAATCAACAAAAATATTAAAATAGAAATTTAAAACTTGATCAAATTAACTGATTCTTAGAATAACAAACTGGGACTATATAGTTAAATTACATTCAAGATTTACAGGACACTATATGAACAGTTATTACAAAGAAATTTAGCATCGAAGATTCAGAATAAAAATAAACATCACCTGTCTTGATTATTACATGTCTGTTTAAAATTGAATTCATCAATGTATAAAAAATGGCAGTACAAAAGTGTAAAATATGTATAGAAACTAACATTTTTGATCATTAACATTTTGGCTGCGAACAAATTTGTGACATTTATCAATATTATTAAACTTCTACTCTCGAGTTAAAAATTAGCTACAAAAACATCAATATAGTTTACTAAAATTACCATCATACAGTATTATGATAAACATGTGGTGTACATTTTGTTCCTCTTTAGTGTCTACCTTAATTATCAAGACCCAATTTACCAGTATATAATTCATAAAACATTCAAAACAATGTAAAACATACATAAAATTCAATGCAAAAATAGTCCATATAAATAGACTGTGTGTTAATTGTGTAGAGTGCATATTGTTGTACAGTTACATGTAGAAGTGTATTAATGTAGTACATGTATGTTGTCAATGTTTGGTAATGTTAACGAGGAACTAAGATACAGGTGGTCATGATGAGAACATTCTAGCATACATTTGTTTCTCCTTGACTTTCTCTTCCTGCATGGCTTTCTTTGTCTTCTCTAATTCTCGTCTTATACCTGTAACACATGAAACTTATACCTGTAACACATAAATCAAATGTGCATGCAAGACCAGAGGTACAGTACCATAGAAAGAATTTCATGTTATCCTGTCACTTGTATCAATTTCGGCCCGATAACAAGGTGCCGTATATTTTTACTGATCTACGGCACTTGATCACGTGGTATGCATGTTTGCCGGACTACTTTTCAAGAAAAAAATATAAAAACTGTCGTTAAATCTTCTGTGTGTAGAATAACGAATTTTGGAAACGTTGATAAATCTTTGTTTGTTTATTTTAATTCACTCTATAATTTTTCAAGCGAAATAAAAATTATTAAAAGTGAAATAAATGTAAAACTTAACTCGTTTGCGACATTAAAATAGCGTACTTGATTTGATTGTTTTGCACGTGCTGTTTGGCGCTACATTGTGACGTCACGTAAACAATACTTTAAACGTCTGTACAGCGTTAACGACTGAATAAAAGATATTGGTGTTCGAATTCATTTTCTTAGTTAGACTATTTTCTTTCATTCTAGATAGTTTTCACAACAAAATTCGACAAAAAATTGTTTTTATTTATCACATTTTTCAAACAAAATGGCGCCCTCAATGTGAAAATACACAGGGAGATAATAAGAACGGCGAGTGCATTGTTGTAGAATAATGCACGTTTCGGGCCTTCTTTGTTTATATAGAAACATTTCCGATAGTGTGATTAAAGGTAATTTGCCTAATAAAATTCTTTAGGAAAAAAACGGTGACAGGATAAATAGAATAATAGATTGGTGCCGTGGACGGAGAAAGTTTATCTGTCTCTGCTCCGAAATTTATTGGGTTCGCCTGCGGCTCACCCAATAAATTCCTCCGCCTCGCCAGATAAACTTTCTCCATCCACGGCACCAACCTATTATTCTCTATATCAATGGCAACGGAAGTTATCTGCGCCATCCGAGAATCGAACCAAAGTCACCCAAATTCACCATCTTTTTAAGTAGGTGTAGCTAACTTACTCCTCTATTTTATAGACAGGTAGTTTAGAGATTGACTTGAAGATTAAATTCAACAACAATTACTGTGTTATAAAATGACGATAAAATAACTTATAAACATTACCTTTATCATTTGGTTCTAAAGCTATTGCTTTCTTTAAAGCATCCTAAAATAGAAAATTGATAAATGTACAAACTTCTTTCATAAAAAAAGGTTTGCGATATCACTTTTAATCTAATTTCTGAACACTTAGAGAAATCACGATGAAATTTTTCAAGCTTAAACAAATATAGATTACTAACATATCTTTACCTGTAACAAGTATTTCAATCAATGAGGGCATAAAAAATGTCAAATAAGATATACCTTAAGAAGACAACACCAGAACAGTGTTAAGATTGATTTATTTCGGTATAAACATGGACATTTAAAACAATATGTATGGTATAAACATTTAAAACATACATGAGAATAAATAAGCCATGACATGTACACCAGGATCGAGGATAGCACAAAAAGGGAAACTTTTGTTTCCATTGTGGTCCCCAATGTTTTAATGTTATGAACTAACCTCGGCTTTGTCCCAATCTTTTAAGTTAACAAGAGCTTGTCCTTTCCTAAACAATGCTTTAACATTCTCCCCTGATAATGATAACACCTGAAATATATAATAATTATACAACAGAATGACCCCTGACCATATGCGAAGCTAATAGAAGTATTGTTAATAACAATTATTCAGGTTTCAATTTTTTTTCAAGCAGTGAAAGCTAAGATTTAATATTCTCAAGATAAGTTATGAATGGAAATGTCACAGCTTCCTGAACAGTGAAAGAATTGCTCAACTCCCCCCCCCCCCCAAAAAAAAAAAATAAAAATAAAATAAAACTAGAACTATCACTAAATGTGATTAATACCCCCACAAGTCTGCTTCGGAAATGAGGATGTTACTAGTAACAGAATACCTTGTAATAGAATTGAAACATAGAGATATGGTTGTGGGCAATTAAAGATAATTGTGGTTTATGTATGTTGCATTTACTTTCAATGTGGTTGGCCATTGATGAAGTTTAATTGAATTACTCTATAATAAGTCCAGAAAGACAAAGAAAAAGAACAAAGGGCAATAACTCTATAAATACTGAAGATAGAGTTATAGTTCTTGTGCACTGCACTTCCTCTTATTGTGCTTGACCATTGTATGAAGTTGTTTCCAACCAGTACGTTTTAAGTTATGCTCCGGAAGAGGAAAAGTATCAAAGGGCAGTAACTCTGTATTTTGTCAAAATGAAGTTATGGCTCTTGTGCACTGCACTTCCTTTTAATGTCCTTGACAACTGTATGAAGTTGTAATGAATTCCAAACAGTAGTTTTCAAGTTATGCTCTGGACAAGGAAAAGTAACAAAGGGCAATAACTCTGTAATTAGTCAAGATGGAGTTATGGTTCTTGTGCACTGCACTTCCCCTTATTGTGCTTTACCATTGTATGAAGTTGTTTTGAATTCCAACCAGTAGTTTTCAAGTCATGCTCTGGACAAGGAAAAGTAACAAAGGGCAGTAACTCTGTAATTAGTCAAGATGGAGTTATGGTTCTTATGCACTGCACTTTCTCTCAATGTGCTTGACCATTGTATGAAGTTATAATGAATTCCAACAATAAGTCTTCAAGTTATGGTCCGGACAAAAGAAAGCAATGGAAAAGTAACAAAGGGCAATAAATCTGTAATTAGTCAAGATGGAGTTATGGTTCTTGTGCACTGCACTTCCCCTTATTGTGCTTGGCCATTGTATGAAGTTGTTTTGAATTCCAACCAGTAGTTTTAAAGTCATGCTCTGGACAAGGAAAAGAAACAAAGGGCAGTAACTCTGTAATAAGTCAAAATGGAGTTATGGTTCTTGTGCACTGCACTTCCTCTCAATGTGCTGGACCATTGTATGAAGTTATAATGAATTGCAACAATTAGTCTTCAAGTTATGGTCCGGACAAAAGAAAGCAATGGAAAAGTAATAAAGGGCAATAACTCTGTAATTACTTTAGACAGAGTTATGGTTTTTATGCACTGCACTTCCTCTCAATGTGCTTGACCATTGTATGTAGTTATATTGAATTCCAACCATTAGTCTTCAAGTTATGGTCCGGACAAAAAAAAGAAGGCAATGGAAAAGCAACAAAGGGCAATAACTCTGTAATTACTTTAGATAGAGTTATGGTTCTTGTGCACTGCACTTCCCCTTATTGTGTTTGACAATTGTATGAAGTTGTTTTGAATTCCAACCAGTAGTTTTCAAGTTATGCCACGGACAAGGATAAGTAACAAAGGGCAATAACTCTGTAATTAGTCAAGATAGAGTTATGTTTCTTACGCACTGCACTTCCTCTCAATGTGCTTGACCATTGTATGTAGTTATATTGAATTCCAACCATTAGTCTTCAAGTTATGCTCCGGACAAGGAAAATGCAACGGACAAAAAAAAAAAGCAATGGAAAAGCAACAAAGGGCAATAACTCTGTAATTACTTTAGATAGAGTTATGGTTCTTGTGCACTGCACTTCCCCTTATTGTGTTTGACAATTGTATGAAGTTGTTTTGAATTCCAACCAGTAGTTTTCAAGTTATGCCCCGGACAAGGAAAAGTAACAAAGGGCAATAACTCTGTAATTAGTCAAGATAGAGTTATGGTTCTTGTGCACTGCACTTCCTCTCAATGTGCTTGACCATTGTATGTAGTTATATTGAATTCCAACCATTAGTTTTCAAGTTATGCTCCGGACAAGGAAAATGCAACGGACGTCTGGACCGACCGACCGACCGACCGACCGACCGCCCGACCGACCAACCGACCGACCGACCGACCACCGGGTGACTCCTATATACCCCCCCAAACTTCGTTTTTGGGGGTATAATAATAAAAAAAAATAAAAAAAGTTTCCATATGGCAGTGACAATATCGGCCTGAATACAAATTTGATGTTACCAAGATAAATATTTCACCGGACGATAAATAACCTTTCTGTTACATTTATGTCAATCTTTAGATCAAAGTACCATAAATATCCCTTTAAAAATTCAAACATTTTTCTGCCATATCCACCTTACAGGATTTCCTGGATAACTAACTAGTAATTCAGTGATTCTCAATTTCTCAATAAGTGACTATTTATCCCTGAATGATTTCTGAAGTAACCTGTTAAAGATGCTGTTAATATATGTACGCTAGGGCTCTTATGCACCCTACTTATATGTTACATTGTAGATGTCACATCCTGATTACATTGCGTTTATATACTACAATAAAGGTACGAGCCTGAAAGACGTATTCTTATACTACACTATTACGGTTCTCGAAAGATGCCTCTATATCTAATAAAATTGATCACATTTTGTAAGAAGAGACATGAACTGTTGTGACTGATAAAGTTATTTCAAACTATTTGCAGATATTTACATACAAACAACATCTGCACCATGTGCTAGTTTTACATACATGTATTAGATTTTAAAATCACCTAGCATCAGTACTTTAATTATTTTGATGTATATTAAATTTCAAAATGTCATCAATTATTGTGAGTTTTACCTCATCACAGTCCTCCACTGTTCCGCTGTAATCCTTTAACTGTAGTTTACATGCTGCCCTATAATATAACAATACAATACTTATAACTTACATATATGATTATTAGCCGCCAACATGAGGACACAATCCATAATGTCATTTACTATCTTTATAAACTGAAATATTTGATACTTAAAATATCCATTTTCATTGCTTTTAAAATGAATAAAATCTTCTGAAATTTGCTTATTGTTGTTTATTCATATCTAGCTTTAACATTTCAAAATTAATTCATTTTTTTATTTTCAACATGAAAGACAATGCTAACATCTTTTGACAGGTAGGTGGCGCGATAGCTCAGTTGGTTAGACCACTGACTGTCACTCCTGAGGTTCCGGGTTCAATCCTGGGTAACACCCCTGGGATTTTTTAGAAACACTTTCAGTGTTTCCCACCTAACTGGAGGTTTACTGGTACGAAACCCAGGTAATTCTCGCATGTATCAGTGCTATACACTGGGCATGTAAAAGAACCAAGGAATCTATTCAAAAAGAGTTAGGGACTGGTTCCAGGATTTCCTTGTATCGCATAGCTGTCTCTACAGTCTGCTCAGGTTAGGACCCTACTGGAAATAAGTGCTTGCACTTTCGTAGGTTATCCTTGACCGCCCGGTCTAAAGAAAATCATTTCATAAATGACATAAAGGGAAGGTTTCTAATGTCAACATTCAATGATAGTTTCCGTATTTGAAACAATGGCAGCAGACATCAAAGACAAATAAAAGCTAGCACATCAGGTATGATATTGCTGTCTGAAATTTGCTTTCACATAGCAGTGCTTTAATTTGCCTACATACTTCATATATATACACCTTACATGCATATTCTGCAATGAAATAGTTTTCATATTGTAACAGTTGTTGTCTGATACCAGCAAATACAATTTAACCAGATTTATGTCTGTTACAGGGAATTGATAACAACTTGCCCCACTTTAGTATCGATTCATAACAGATTAGTGTTGACTCGCCTGACTTTAAAACAATCATTTCAAACATAAGAAATGATAACAATAAATGTTTGTTTAGGTATATTTTTGGAATTAAATGTTCTCTGTATTAAAACTTTAAGAACAGAAAATAATCATTTTAACAGTTAGGTTATCAATATTAAAACAGATAATGATTTGGCCCAGATTGGTGACAATTCGCCCCACATCATTATTAGTCTACATTGCACCATGTTCTTAATCATTTTCCTTCAATAAAGTTTATGTTAGATATACATTATTTGCTATTGTTGAAAAACGTAAGTTCTTCCAATTGGTGTTATGAATCTAAATACTGCATCTTGTTAGTTTTAGGCCTTAGATTATTTTATAACTATAAATTCCTATTTTTAAAAAACATCAAAATATATATATGTTCGTGTACGTAGAATTACAAGAAAATACCAACCTCAACAATATATAACCATCTGCTTTAAATAACAGATAATAAAGTGTAAATTTAACAATTATCACTCATTTATAACATTAATCTAATTTATTAATTATAAATCTGAAAGTTAAAAAAAAATATACAAATGTGATAAGTAATTGATAGTTCTGTTACACTGATGTTTATCTTATTCTATCACTTAATCAGAAGGTTATCTATAAAAAGTGTACCAAATAAATGCAAAAAATATCCAAACCATAAATATTTTTCAATTTAAATGAATAACATTATGTTTAATGGTGTGAGAATCATTACTATTGTGGGGCAAGTTGTTATAGGCTGAATCATCAGCGGGGTAAATTGTTATAGTACTGTTATAGGAATTATCATTTAGTTGTACTACAGGTATATAATGACAAAAATTAAAATAGTGCTCACTATAAATATATTAAAATACTCACAAATTAAGGTGTAATGGAATGATGTATGTATTTTCTACAACCTTCATTTTTTCTTCTTCTATATCAACATCACTATCTTCTAATTTTTCTAAATATCTGAAAAACAGATAAAATAACAAATATGTTTCTTGATTCATATATCAGTATAAAATTTGCCCCAGAAAATATTTTCACTGGCACTCTACAAGATTAAAGACAAGGTTATGAGAATAAGTTTTTAATAATTTTGATTTAGCTCTTACAAATCCTTAAATGGGTCAAGCATAATATTTTAAACAATCCTAAAACATGATAAATCAATGTGATTACAAGCAAGGTTTGACATATATCTGACATAAAGTTTCTGTTATCAGTATGAAAAACACAGAAACAAGAGGGCCATGGTGGCCCTGAGACGCTCACCAGAAACAACTGCTTTTCAGTGTTGGAATGTTAATATATTCTAATATTTAATTTGAGCATAGAATATGTTTAAACAATATATTGAAGAAATGCCATGACCTGGGGTATTTAAGCTTTAACGGGGCTAATCAAATTAATATGAGCAAACTTGATAAAACACTACCCAAGAATGCTACAGACAAAGTTTGGTGATCATCCATCAATTAGTTCTCTAGAAATAGACGTTGAAAGGTTTTTCTATTTTTAGTCCTAGAGACCCCTTGAAGGGGCCAATCAAAATAACATTAGCAAACTTGATAAAAGACTACCTAAGAATGCTACAGACAAAGTTTGGTGATCATCCATCCAATATTTCTGTAGAAATAGACGTTTAAAGGTTTTTCTATTTTTAGCTTTAGTGGCTCCTAAAAGAGGCCAATCAAATTCATATGAGCAAACTTGATAAAAGACTTCCCAACAATGCTACAGACAAAGTTTGGTGATCATCCATCCATAAGTTCTGTAAAAATAGATGTTTAAAGCTTTTTCTATTTTTAGCCCTAGAGACCCCTTAAGGGGCCAATCACTTTAGTATGAGCAAACTTGATAAAAGACTACCAAAGAATGCTAAAGACAAAGTTTGGTGATCATCCATCAACTAGTTCTGTAGAAGATGTTTAAAGGTTTTTCTATTTTTAGCTTTAGCGACCCCTAAAAGGGGCCAATTGGAATGACATGAGCAAATTCAAATGTGACTGTTACTAGGATGCTACAGACCAAATTTGAAGTAACTCTGCCCAGTAGTTTCAGAGAATAAGATGATTGTTGACGCATGACGCCGGAGCATCCCCCATTGATACTAATAGCTCACCCTGAGCCTTCGGCTCTGGTGAGCTAAAAAATACTTGTAGCTAAGTTGTACTTCTAGTTCAGTCATAATTTTTCATATATTCAACCAACACGTTTATTATACTTTAAAAGACATGACGTTAAGACATAAAATGGCTGATTATCAGGTTTTGAACCGCAGTGGTCATAGTGTAAAAATAGCTGTAGTCCTATTATTTTTTGTACAACCCTTGAATGAACACCATGAAGTTTGTATGTAACCTTACCTTAAAGCTTTACTGTACTTTATTTTGGCTAAAGAGAAATTCTTATCCTTGTACTGCGTATTTCCAATTGCTTTTATTTCAGCACATATTTCTAGAACTTTATCAATATTTTCTTTCTGAAAATACAAGTTATAAGCTTCCCTATCTTTATTTCAAAAGAACAAATATTTGGAAAATATATGATTTTATAATTAATTCTACACAAAAATGTCTGTCACTTATTCAAAATGAAACAACTCCGAGAAAAATCTATAATTCTATAAGATTCTAGACAAAACAAATCATACAAACAGTTGTTTTAGACGACCTATCTCAATGTTGTAACGTAAATGGTTGGCTCTTCGACCGAGTAACATAGTTAAAGACAGGACATATCCTTATTCTATTATGACTAAAAAATAGCTTTTGAGAAATTTTCTTCAAATACTTGAGGTAAAAACAAAATAAGTTACATCATTAAAGTCAATGTCACATTCTGCTGGCCAGTCTGGATGTTTGTCTCCTGTACCGTCATCTACAACACAACCATCATCCTCTCCTGGTAATATCTCTCCACAGTCTGCTATCCTACATTCCTATATCAAATATAATACTTGTATAGCTAATATCCTACATTCCTGTATCAAATATAATACTTGTATAGCTAATATCCTACATTCCTATATCAAATATAATACTTGTATAGCTAATATCCTACATTCCTATATCAAATATAATACTTGTATAGCTAATATCCTACATTCCTATATCAAATATAATACTTGTATAGCTAATATCCTACATTCCTATATCAAATATAATACTTGTATAGCTAATATCCTACATTCCTGTATCAAATATAATACTTGTATTATATCCTACCTTCCTGTATCAAATATAATACTTGTATATGATATCCTACATTCCTGTATCAAATATAATACTTGTATATGATATCCTACATTCCTATATCAAATATAATACTTGTATAGCTAATATCCTACATTCCTATATCAAATATAATACTTGTATAGTTCACATCAATTGAAACAAATAGATAATAGATGTTTTTCTGTCAATTGATAACTTGAAACATGTCTCAAACTAAGTTGTTGTTACTTAATGAGCATACATGTATTTCATTTAGACGTGATCATAAAAAGGTTGTCAGAAAAAATCATGCATACTGCATTAATAAACAATGCATATTATAATTTTATAGGTCACAAAACATGTATTTTATTGAAATCATAAAAACAGGTATGAAAGATAGATATAGATAAATAATATTCTATGTATTATCAATATTTACCATCCAATATTGACATATCATCAACATGCTTTAGACTAAACCAATGACAGCTGGAAATACTTGTATTATTAATAAAATCATTTTACGTTGCACCAACACAGTAAAGGTCATATGGCACCTTCCAGCTTTACTGCTAGAGGCAGACCTCAGGCATTATTTCAGGCACAAAAGGGGACTCGAGTAGAATTACCGAAGTTCATTAATCATGCTGTATAGCTTCATCACATGAAAGAATCCAAACTCCCTTTTGGGATTCAAACCCACATCTGTAAGGGCCAAGTGGTTTGAAGTCAACAACCTTAACCACCCTGGCACAGATGCCACTCTTATGAATTAGAGACACCTATCACTTGCTTTGTTCTAGTGTTAATAGTATTACAACAAAGTTTTATTATTGTATTTTTTACAAGTTAAAACTCAATACTGAAAACATATCTTGATGTGTATATTTGTAAACACAAAGTGTCTGTGAATCACTTTGTACTTACCTTCTTAGGTTTCTCTCCTTCCTTCTCAATATTCTCTAATGTTTTTACAAGACTCATTCCCTTGAGAACTTTACCAAACACAACATGTTTACCATCAAGATGAGGGGTAGGTACAGTTGTTATAAAGAACTGAGACCCATTTGTATCTGGACCAGCGTTTGCCATGCTTAACAAACCAGGAATGTCGTGCTGAAAATAACAACAAACTTGTCTATCACAATCATTCTTTATATTTCCCTCCTTAAATTCTTTCAAACATAAATCATCACACAGAAATCATTTTCTAGCAAGCTACTAAACAGAATATATTAAATATTCAAATTCAAGTTTATTGTATAATCAGGCCACCAACCGAGACACATATTACTGTATCACATATAACATACAATATTACAGTCATGTAAGCCAATAACATGATATATACAGGGTTTTACATCTCTTTGAAATTTTAGGGGTCCAGTGGATGCACAGCCAAGAAAAGTAGGGGTCCAGGCCTGAATTTTAGGGGTCCAAAATTATATTCACTATAAAAGACTATGAAGACCAATCTATTTTGCTTAAAATCATTTATTTACCCTGTAAGAAATATGCATGTATATATTGTACTGTTTTCATAAGAGGTATATTATTTCAATATCTTTTATCACTAGCCGAGGCTAGGTTTTTTTATAGCCCTTTACAATAATATCATGTGCTATTTCCAAGACTTATAAGTATTTGAGTGGCTGGAATGTCAAGTTTTAGTAGCATATTTTGTTATTGATAAGGTGATTACACCAACAGACTGAAAATTTGTACTGATCTATTTAAATATTTTAGCTGAACTAGTAAAAACACAATATATATCTTTACAGAGCAGTCAGCTAAATATGTTGCGTTTTTAAAAATATCATATAACAAAAGGCCGACGAAACCGCTTTTGCACCTCTTCATAAGCTGGGACATAAGATAACTTAAGTTTATGCTCGCCCATATGGTTTTATACCGGTGGCCGATGGCGAGGGTAAATAAACTTACCTTATGTCCCAGTCATAAGTTAAGTTAGCCGAAACCATTATATTTATAACACCAACGATAATAACATAACCAGTTACTTATTTTCTTTAACACTATGAAAATAAGTCTGCAAAAAGCACTGCCTTTTTTTTATCGCCGTTCATGTACAATTCGCCGAACTGGTATACGCTTTACCAAAAGTAATTGCTTGTTATAAATAGTCCGTCTAAATTTAGCAATAGAAAAACCAAAAACAGCTACCTAAAATAGATTTTACGGTAAACGTCATCAGTTACTGTAGCTTGCACGATAAACGTCATCAGTTTCTGCAGCGGGCACTTGCAAATAGCATACACAGTAGATTTCAATTATGTTAACTTCCGAAATAAACAAATGCAAGCATTTTCAGCTCTAAATGGAATTTTGTGAGCTTCGAGAAGAAAGAGGTAAAATCATGTCGGGTCAGAAACATTAATATCTATTGTCTAGGATTATTTTTGTGCGTACACTTGTACGCAAGTGGATAACTTATATGCGTACATGTCAAAATTTATGCGTATAGGGACGCAGAATTCTGCGTCCCGTAAAACCCTGTATATATTTTGTCAAGAAAACAGAACAATACACAAAATTATTTCAGACATAATTCATGATACAAAGTCGATTTAAATTAATATTCTAGTCTCAAGTAAGAAAATGTATTCTTTCTTTTGTAGCAAAATACAAATACAACGCAAGTTCTCTAATGACTTTTACATTTTGACAAGACATTAAATTATAAAACATTAGTTCATTTGGAGTCTGATAATATACAGAAGGTATGTATTTAATCCTTAAGTCATTGTAAAGAGGACACACTAATACAAAATGGTACAAATCTTCCAAACAGCACACACAGAAAGGACAATTTCTATATTCTACACCGATATAATAATATCTACATTTTTCCACCATTATGTGCAGGTTTCATAAATTTAGTTATATAGCAGCACAGATATAACGGCCTGGTGGTAAAGTTATTACTTGGAAACCATTTTGACATAACTCTATTTGCCAAGACCAATGCACCTGTGAAGTTAGAGGGTGAAGGGTCCATAGATTATCGACGATTTATTGGTTGGAAACCATGTTGCTATAAAAGGTCAATGTGACCTTGACTTTTGACCTAGCTACTTCCCCAAAAATACTAATGGACATTACCAATCTCCATACCAAGTTTGAAGTCAGGTTCCTAGCCCCAGGTTATTGATCAGAAATGATTTGTTCTATGGACCACCCAACCAACATGTGCAAAGCAATATAACCCCACTTCTTGGAAGGGGGGCACATAATAAAGTGTTCTTGAAATGTAAGTCAGTTTCACATTTATCTATATGAACAATATATATTCTCCAGATTTGCAGAAATACCTTCAAAGTAAATCCCTCATCTTCAAATTTTTCCCCGTAGATACTTTCTCCTCCAGTTCCGTTAGCATTGGTAAAATCACCACCCTGTATCATAAAATCTTTAATTACTGAAAAACAAATCAAGAAGTCTATGAATCATCAAATGTAAAAAGAAAATTTAATTGCACTTCTTCCATTTCATAGTAAATTGGTTTTGAATATATGATTTCGACAGCATATCTGTATATAAAACAAAAGACCTTTAAATTTTTTGCATGTACAAAGATTTTGATTAAACAGGTTCAAGTACTATCCACAGGTTACTCAGGTATCATCCTAAATATATGATAAGTAATGTCATCCTAGCAAAGAATTCATATCTTGTATCACTATAGATAATACAAGAACTGTCGGACAGTATTGGCTTGACTATTCGAAAAAGTTGTCACAAGGGTGTTTTATTGAGTATAATAATGCTAATTACCTATGAATACATAAAATTGACCGAAAAGGTACAAAGGCTTGTTATTAAGATGTTTTATCAAGTATATCACTGCTTAATTATTATGAATGCATAAAATTGTCCTAAAAAAGGCACAAACCCTTCAGTAATTATGGAGATAACAATTTACAAGCAAAACTTTACCATGACTTTCTAAGTTGAAAAAGGGGAGAAAAATCAGCCTAAATGCAAGATAGAATTATGTATCTTGGTCAGTGACCTACAATTATGACCCTAAATGCATATGTGGAGTTTTAAATAAATAGCATTTATTGAGATATGTAAAACTTGCATGTAAACATTAACCAAGAGACTAAGTAGAAAAGGGGAGATGAATCAGCCTAAATGCAAGATAAGAGTTATGGAACTTGGTCAGTGACATACAATTATGACCCTCCAATTATGACCCTAAGTACATGTGTAAAGTTTCAAGTAAATACCTTTGAAAACCTTTAACTTTTAACAAAAATTTCTAAGTTTCAAAGAGGCTGCAAGTATTGCAGGCAGAGTTATGCAATTTTGCAAACTGATGTACATTGTTACTATAAATAAGTATTGTAAGTTTCAATTGAATATCTTAAGCAATAATTGAGATATTTGACTTTACAAAAAACTTTAACCAAAATTTCAGTTAAAAAGGGGCATAATTCTGTCAATATTGAAAGGCAGAGTTATCCCACTTGTCAATCTGATGTACTTTGTTACTATAAATAAGTATTGTAAGTTTCTATTGAATATCTCAAGCAATAATTGAGATATTTGACTTTACAAAAAACTTTAACCAACGCAGACGCGGAAGCAGACGCCGGGGCGACTACAATAGCTCACATATTCTCCAAATAGTCAAGCTAAAAATGTCACACAGAAATCTTATCTTTGCATAAAATTTCTAGGACAAGCAAACAGGAATTTTAACATAATCAGGTTTTTAAATATACTCAAATTAGCTTTTTAAATCTCTTTGATATGAAATTGCCAGTGTCTGAACGAACAGAAAACAACAGATATTTTAAATTTATCAGTTTGGTATAATGCTGTGGAAGTTTAGTTTAAAATCCCTTGAGAAATATAGGAACTTGTTTACAAGTTACCCTGACTGACATTCACCATTCTAAAAATAATTGTATATTTTATTTCAGAAAACCTTGTTAAAAATTAGCAATTCAAAATTATCAGTTTAATAGATGTTTCTGAATTAGTAGTGAAAATTTCATCCACTTACTCCTATGAAAAATAGATCCTTTGTAATGAAGAGGTTTGCCTGACGGGCCAGTGCCCTTCTCGCCTGTACATAAAGCACGGAAATTTTCAGCAGTCTTTGGAACTTCATCTTTGAATAGCTCAAACAATATTCTACCAGCTGAAAATGTGTAGGAAGAAAATGTAAGAACATAATGATTTCAATGACTTTCAACATTATGATATTAAACAGAAAGAGGGTTACAATGTGTACCATAAATTATGCTTAAAAGTAATATAAAGTCAGTGATTTTCCTGCTTATTTAACAGACTCCAAAAAAGGGCCTCTTCACAAATGAAATTTTCTTTAGCAGTTTTCCCAAAAATCTGAACTTAAACCTGCTTTTTTCTTCCGGAATAAGCAAAATTAGTGATAATTTTTACAAAAATCAAGAGGCTATCCGCTAAGGCCTCTTCCCAATTAAGTGAGAAAAATCACTGTAGATACAAAGAAGGTAACATAAGTTCACAATTGTTTAGTTCATTTACATCATATCAAAATTGATAAAAAATCTATAGCAAGTTCTCTACGATTTTCTGGTTTGATTTTTTTCCTTGCATATTACAAATTTATAATATTTGAAAAGAAAGTAATATTTTCATTAAGCACTTATTTTTATAGCAATGTATGAATTTACAACTTCATTTATAATGGCACAATGATGTCATCCTAAGAACACAATTCATTCATAAAAGACGTGTGAGAATGATGTCATATAAACACGCCACTTGTTTAACATGGATGATGTAAGACTAATAATATCTGTCATATTTTGCAGTTCGGACGGAATATCCGTCCTGAGGGGGATATCCGTCCCGAGGGGGATGGTGGATATCCGAGGCCATCACATAATGATCCCTGCTGGAGTACACACCCGAGGCCATGCCAACAGGTACCTACAACCCTTCACCAGTGTCAACTCATACAAGTATTCGTTCTTTCCTTCTGGGATCCGACTTTGAAACAGCCTTCCAGAAGTTGTGATGACAGCCCCGTCCCTAGAGGTCTTCAAGACTAGGATGGGTGCGCTGCACGAGTAACTCTGGAGCATGGTGTTTTTAACCTGTTTTTAGCTGCACTTGATGTTCCCTTCACTCATGTAAATAGTCACAATTGTGCGACGATGCTCCAGAGGGGCCCAGCACATTACCCGGATGAAGAAGAAGGGGACACCCCTGTTGGGCGATAACGTGGCTTGCCGAGTTCATGAATTTGATATTTTCTTTTATACAGATTGTTTGTTTGAATTGTTATAGGATAGTCAGTTATGTCGGAAAATAGCTTATATAGCTAATGTTTATATGTTTTTATGAAACCTACTATAAATAAAGATTATCTTATCTTATCTTATGAATAGGTCAAAATCAATCCATTTATACACCGATTTAAGTTTTTTGTTGAGCTTTTTCTTACGGAACGTGTTATGGGTTTTTGAGGAATTTCGATATGACGTTGCTTTGCCCAGAATCAAAAATATTTCACTTGAGACGTCATATTTATAGGACTAACAATGTGGTTGATTCTATGCTGATGATTTTTTTAAGTTTAAGAAATAAACATGCAAGAATGCTTGACTTTGGCAGGCTCAATATATTTAATTATTTAAGTGTGCTATATTATTTTCGGGCAAAACTAAATGTTCCCCATAATAATTTATGGACAGTCTGAGTCATGACAGTCACAAGGAATTATGCCTTATAATTTGTGGTTTGTCGAAACTAACCGACTGAACGCATGACGACGCGAAACATGTCCAGGTCCTAGGATTTCATGTATTTTGGTGTCCTGTAAATTATAGATAGTCCTAAAATTTTAAGATTTTTCAAAATCATAAATTTACAGATATTCAATGAAGAAAATTTGCTGTTTTTAGTTTTAACACTAAATCCGCAGCTTAAGACAAAAGTTGATTTTATGATTGTTTATATTTACAAAGGTAATGGGGGTGAGTTTGGGATGATTTTGAAATTTTTGCTAAAAGTGAAAATTGAAAGTCATCAAAATGTTCTGAATCTTACATACTGTTACATTTTCTTATACGTACCTTATTCATTTTAACCTGCCAGTTTTGAGTTTTTAATGCTAACTTCTGATATTTTCCTGGTAGACCAGACGTTTCACCTATTGAAGACGGTTTCAGCACCCAAGACGGTTCAACAAAGACTTTTCATCCAAAAATGGGAGTGAAACGTCTTGAAGACGTTTCACTCCCTTTTAATACCAAAATTATTTTGATACTTATGATATATTAAAATAGACATAAAATATTGAATTGAATTGAACTAAAATAGACCTTAAATTTAATAAAAATAAATCAAAAAGGGGGATTTCACTTTTTTGTCAACGACTTAATTAAAGCTCAGTACTTTAAGTTCTATCATTTCAGTTGCAATAAGGTGTTTTCTATATTCTTTGATTCATATGTGCAATTATCACGTTATTTCACTTAAAGAAAAAATATGTTTGATTAAAATAACACTTTAATATAACTTAAAGTTACTTATAATTTGATCGTTTGTAAACATGGACTCATAGGCAATTTTAATTTAAAGCATAACAATCTTGTGACAACAATTAACTTTGAGTAATGTGTTTTTTGTTGTTTATTTTAAACATGGGAAAAAAACTGTTAAATTATTTAATGCTAGTATATATATATTATATATATATATATATATATATATATATATATGTTATATAGTGCTTTTGCAATATATGTCTAAAATTTTAACGGCCATTGAAATCAGAAATATCTTTAAATTGAATTAGAAGCATTGGGACTTTTTCAATATTTGTCATGTATAATCATTTTTTGGCCTAAAATTCATTATTATATAAACAAAACTTATGGAGAAGTTTCTGTGTTTAAATTGGCTGTTTTCAAAAAAAAAATATTTTAATAATCCAATAAACAACTGATTAGTAAACTGTTGACGCTTAAGTGCAGTGTTTATTCAACTGATTTAATAGTGGTGTCAAACTGTTAGTTGAGTGTCTCAGTGTTTACAACTAATTAGGCGATGAGATAACACTACAATTGATGGCTACTGTTTAATAAATTGATGAAGAAAATAATTTAAAAAATACTTCATTTTATACACATGTTTCGCATTTCATTGTTTATGACTCAAAAAATAATCATTATATAATCAATAAATTTAATATATTGATATTTTTTATTATTTGAATAATATAAATGACTGTACTGGTAGTGATTTCAATATTTAAACTGAACTGATACTTATAATATGTATTTGTTGTTCTTTCTATGTTATTCTATTTTTTTTTTAATTTACTATATAATAAAATTATTAAATAGAATATTCTCATGTTGTTATACTTATAATAAAAGTGATATTTCAGAATTATGTCTTTCATTTACACCTCTTATCACTCAAACCATAATTAAATGAGTTATCTTCTAATAATTCGTATTAACAATACCATTGAAATGAGCAAAATGAAACATTAAATTGAATTTCTCTTTTACACTGTTTGATATTAATGAAATTAAAATTTGTTAACTTTCCTAGTAAACATCTCTAAAAATTGGGAGTGAAACGTCCATATAATTGACAAAATGTAAGTGAAACGTCTAGGTGTGAACCGTCTTGGGAGTGAAATGTCTCAATAGTGAAACGTCTTGGTAGTGAAACGTCTGACATTCCTATTTTCTTACTTCATGTCTGTAAATTTACAGATAAAAAAATCTGTAAAATTATGGATCGTCCAAAAATGAAATCCTAGACCTGGATATTACCTGGTTCGCCGCCGATTTCAACGTCAAAGAAAACACGTGGATTTTCCCCCTTCGTTGTTTCTTGAACAGGTACACTCTCTTTTACACTTTCGGTCATTTTGGTTTATATTTTGAACGTATATTTTGTCCCAAACGAGGAAAAAAATAAAAATATGTAATTCACGCCGGCTTTAAAGGGAAACTACTCTCTATTCATTTAGAACATCTAAATGCTGTACAATCACTACGGACCGTAATTCGGAATATACAAAATTCAATTAAGGTTTAAAGGTACTAAAACTAAAAAAAAGAACACTATACTGTGTTCCTCTTAGTTCACGGTACTTAACGCTTTGAAACCATAAAGAAAACAACAAATGAAACTTATGGTACAAAAATTGTCATAAGCAATATCATATAGATATTTTCTGCCTTATGGCACAAGGAAACAACAATATATACAGTCAAAGTCAATTTTAATGGACCAAACGTAGACCATAATTTTTTATGTCGGCCATTTTGAAAACAGTATGTCATCAATTAAATCGCGATAATGGTGTTACATTTCAGTTTTTTCATGTTTCAGTTAAAATTTCTACATGTTATTTTGCTTGATTTTAAATATTAAATTTATTAACTTATCCTTACTTTAATTTTTATTTTTTTTTAGTAAATTGTAACTCAAAATTAATTTCTTCAACAATCAAGAACATTTAGAAAATGATGATTGTTTCAGACATACGCACAAATTTAATGGACTATTGTTGCTTTTGGCAGAAATTTGTAAGATGTTGTTCTGTTTTACGTAAAAATCTAGAGATTTGAAATATTTTGCACAAAAACTTTCTTGCATAGTTTTATAAATAAAATATGTCAATTCTGACCAATTTTAACACTGGTCACATGCAAATATGCCATTACCGTGAAATAAGTGATGACACGGAATAACCCAGCAAACATTTTATATCGGCCCGATATTGGATTCTATATCTATATTCCGACATCTAGCCGATATCGGCCCGATATGGGAATGTTTGCTGGGAAGTGATGTTGACGGCTAACATACATGTATTATATTTTGGGCCTCATTTAACATAGTATAGATAGATAGTGTTGATGTTTAAAGTTGAAGACAGTATATAATTCATCAAGAACAGTGGAATCAAGAATTGCCCTTTTTCGGAGGACAAATGTGAATAACGAAGGAAAATGAACGACTGGTGATTATGGTGGCGGTTGATAGACAACACGTCATCACAGTCCTCGGTAAATGTATCACCTCTGGGCACCGTGCTCAGGTGTGCTAAAAAAAAAATCATTACAATTTCCAAAATTAATAACGGAGCAGTTGTTAGTTTGCAGTCTCGAAGATTTCATCAAAATAATGTCCATTTAGAAGTGTTCATTCTAGTCAGACTGTACAGACGCAAAATGTTATTTGGAAAATAAATCATTCAATCGATTTCCATGAGCTGAGTTTCACAAAATAATTTGCCAATTTGACCTATCTGAATGAATTTCCTTTACCTTCTTTCTCATTCTATACAATCATTTATGCTCTTAAAAATAAGATCATTTGAACAATATCTAGCTAGTTACACTATGTTTAATTTCCAGCTTAATCTTTGATTTTTTTATGTCATTCCAAATATATTAAAAATAAACTTCATTGTTTCAAACAATGTTACAAATACTGCCATAATTTTACTGCATATAGTACAATTAAATATATAAGAGAAGACAAGCTTAGCTTTCTGCTCTAATCCTTTTTATTCGTGTATCTATTTTTGTAAATGTATTATTAACATGTTGTATATTCATTGTTTGAAATTAAACTATGTTTAAACTAAATCATTTAAGTAGATTAAGAATGAAAAACTACTGTAATCACCAAAATATTAATTTAAACAACGTACGTAGATCCAAAATTGTTGCTTTTTTTTTCAATGAATTCAGAAATCGTCAGCGCGCCCAAACTTAATTATATCACGTGTAATAAAAGTTTCTGCTTAAAGTAAACAGCATTGCTCAAGTCAAGTCAAAGATCCTTTATTTCACACATTTCATGTAAATATGAATAAATTTGATTGGTAATGAATACAATGCTAGAAGAGGCTCTTTGAACATATACAATGTATATTAATATTATAATTGTAGTGATAAAAAAAACCCACATATTCATCGCTTCGATTAACTTTCAAAATTTGGAAGTCAAATCTCGAGACTGCAAAATCTTTGATTTTGGAAGTCACATTATATAGGTAAAGAAGGAAAAGTATTAGATTTTGGAAGTCACAAGTCAAAATCAAGGATTAAATGACTCCCAAACTTCCATTAACGGAAGCCCTGACATAAATCACAAAATTGGAATTTTTTTAGTAAATGAGTTAACCACAGTAAACTGTGGAGAGTCACGTTATTTAGACCCTCTTAGGGGAATAATTTCGTTCCATATTACCTGTTTGTCCAACAGACGATGATAATGATAACAGAAAAAAGAAGAAATAAATAATAATTTTAACAAATGCACGACAAGTGATGTACATTTATATATGTCTTAACATTTTATTCATTACAATGACATTTCTAGAAACTCGCACTTAAAAGCTATTTAAATGAAAGAGTATACTATTAGTATTAGACAAAAAAATCATAACAAACACTTTGCTATGGATCATAATTATTTATCATAGAAAAATTCATCAATGAAATATCCGTATAACAGTCTAGGAATGTGCATGATCAAATGAGCTAGGTGAATACTATTTTAATTACCTTAAAATTGTTAACTAATTTACATAACTTCAAATATTTGCTGTTAAGTTGTTCTAGCTTGAATGTATTTGCATGCGCGTCTGGGGTTACGGACAAAGCCCCCCCCCCCCCCCCCCGATGAAAGCCTCCCATCTATAAATGACAAGGTGGACAAAAGCCCCTCCATGATTTTAATCGTAGGAGAAAAGCCTCCGCCCCCATCAAAAATACAGGTAGGACAAAAGCCCCCCGCCCCCGTCCATCATACAATTGTTATTGAGAATCTCGTCAGTTTAAATCAAAAGTCATACCGATGTTATCGGTATGTTTAATTTAACAAATAAATGCAATTGTTTTAAAAAGATAATTTAGATTTAAATTTAAAGATACAAAAGTTCTAATTTGATTTATTGTATAATTCATATACGAAACCCATGATAACCATTGTATCAGCAAGCACCGGGTGCTCCTACCAGCTGAACTGTGGCCCGAAGAAAATGATAAGAAGAACATCAAGGGCTTGGAGACCCTCATTATCTAATCATCAAGATATCACGTGACTGATATTTAAAGATACAAAAGTTCTAATTTGATTTATTGTATAATTCATATATGATTTATTGATGATATGAATGTTTTTATGTTTATTATATATTGTACAGTACAAATGTAAATGAATATTTTCGGAGAATCGATTATCAACGCTTATCAAGGAAATAAAAGTTAAAGGCGCATACTTGTTTAGATTTATTTAAGTATAAACCGAAGTTCCCGAACACCGCCTCGTGTGAAAAAAGATAGTTATCAGTCTGGTCTTTTATTTGGTGGGGGTTGGGGAGGCTTTTTCCTATGGTAAATTTAGTGGAGGGGGGCTTTGTCCACTTTGTCATTTTTAAATGGGGGGGGGGGGTTTTGTCCGGGGGAGGGGTCCTACACTCGCGCGTCTGTAATAGTTTTTAGTTTAAACATATATAGTTTAATTCGGAACAAAAATTCACAATATATATACAGACAATAATGTACACAATACAAACATGATATGTTGAAAAAGGATTGGGTCCGAAAACTGAGCTTATAAAGGCCTTCTCCTTATAGATTTACCATGCATAAAATAGGGTATGACAGTATATGTGACTTGCTTGAAATATATCTGATTTTACATTGTTTTTAAGAAGTTAAAGTCAAAATTGTTTCTAACATTTAGATATAATGTAAAGCAAAAATATCTACAAAAAAAAGGAATGAGAATACATGCAAGACTGCATCATTTTTTTATATAAAATTAAAGAGAAATAACGTTAATTAAGATAGAAAGAAATGAAATAAGAAACTTTCAGCAAAATAGAAAAGAGAAGAAATGAATGAAATGTGGATCATTCGGATAGTTCGACCGAGTTTAAATGGAAGTATTTTTTAGTGATTTGAGCTTGATGTGAAATGCTTAAGAGAATCTCCTGCTTTCTCGGATGTGTGTATGAACGGCTTCAAACAGTCTTCTGTTTGCATCATCACTAATGTTTGGGTCTCCATTTAATAACTTTTTGGAGAGTTGCTGAACAAATAGTAGATATAGTGTTAAGAAAAGAGGCCCTGCTGTCAGCATAGTGTTGACATTTCAGAAAGAAAAAGTGGTAATTACTATCCACTATGCCACACTGACAAAGAGGAGATGGAGAAATATTTTTCTTAAATAGATGCTGATTTAGAGAACTGCATTCAGTACGAAGTCGAGCATGATAGATCTGCATTTTCTATCGCCTTCATAGAAAATAAATCGGACAACAAAGAGCTGCTTCGTCTCAAATGGGATTTGAAAAGCAAACAGTGAACGTAAATTTTGTACTTCAGTTGGAAGGGCGTTCCATTTTATTCAGAGCAGTTGAAGAAAAGCATTTTGATAAAGAGTTGTTCGTGTTCGATTTAGTCTGAATATTTGTGGCATTGCGTAGATCGTACCTTGAATTTTCGCCTACAGTAGGTGGAAGTAAAGAACACAAGTTATCTGGTGTTAAGCCATTTTTCATTTTATAAAGTAAGATAAACATATGATTATTTCTTCGAGATTCTAAGGATTCCCAAGGAACTTCACTATGGAGTTTATCTAATGATACAAGTTTTGTAGCACCGCACACAATACGAGACGCTTCATTTTGAATTTTGTCAAGCCCAAGTTTCTCATATTGTGGGCAGTTTAGATAGACAACATCGGCGTATTCCAAAATCGGTCGGATGAAAGTTAAATATATCACTTCAAGAGATCTACGGTCAAGCTGAAACTTCAATTTCCTCATATTAAATGTGTATCCTCTTCCAGGCTCGTTCGGTAATATAGTTATATATAATGTGACAATGCCACGAGCAATCGTCTGAAAGGTGGAGGCCCAGATGTTTGTGACTGTTTACGGTTGTTATTTGTTGGTTATGCATAAGAAGTGAAGGATGAAAGGGTTTATTTCTTTTACGAGAGATAATCATAGATTCAGACCTCGATGGATTGAAAGTAACCAGCCATTTTTCAACCCAAGCTGATATATTCAGTGTTTCAGCAGCAGAAGCAGGGTACGTAGTCAACAATAATATGTAAACTGGTATCGTCAGCAAAAAGATTAATTTTTGAGCCTATATCTTATAGCGATTACCATATCTTCCACGATGTCATTGATGAAAACAAGTAATAGCAGAGGCCCAAGGATGGAGCCTTGGGGTACTGATCCAGCCTTTACTATCGCCCATACTGATTCGACCCCTGGGGTAGGATAACCGCCTGGTGCCTAGCTGTTAGTAAGATAGTCAGAAAACCAGTTAATTAAGTAGTAATAGTAAGGTTCCTTTCATTATTCAGCAAAAGGCAATCAAATAGGTAACTATATATATAATAATATATAAATATATAACCCATATACATTTGAGGATTTTACTGTATTACAATTGTCAAATGTCGTTTCTGTGCTAAAAATAAGATATATTTTTTTTTTAATGTTAAGAATCTATTTTGTCAAATTTTGTGATCATTGTACGTCTTAATTAAATAACAATCCTGAAAATAAGTTTTGTGTCTTTTCAATGAAATGCACACAATGGCCAATAGTTGTCCATAAAGTCGTTGCCCTACATACTACGCCATGTAGAACGTGAACTTGAACTTGACTTACTTATATAAATGAACGACATTTATTTTATAAACCAAATTCAGCTCTTTCGATACGGGAAAATCTATTTTAAAAAGATAAAACAATTTGTATCAAGACCTATATGTCTTCTTTACCTTACATGTTGATGATTCTGTCATATGACTTATTCTTCTTTTTAAACCATTTAATTATATAATGACAGTTTCATGTATATATATAACACGTTGTATAACATTTGAGAACGGTTGAGGTCATAACCCCTCGATACGCCAATCAAAACGAAGAAAGCTAGTCACATGGTATTGTTGTGTTTATGTAAGTACTGAATCCGATCCAGAAGAAAGTGTAATGTTGGAAAAATGGTTGATCTAGCTAGGCAGGCGTTTAGTTCTAGAAATTATGATTTAGCTGCAGATATTTATGAACGATCTATATCAGAACATGGACCAAAACCCGAATTACTTCTTGGATTAGCTGATTGTTTTGCCAAGGCTGGTCACTTTGAGAAGGCATTTACTGCATATTCGAAAGCCTGTAGAGTTGGATGTGTTTCTCACAAGGATTTAAAACATTTGGTTTCATCTTTGGTGAATTGCGTTAAGCAAGAAAAACAGGTAGACGCCGTTATGAACAGCACGGTAATGTTCGACTGCTTAATATGCCGAAATATGCTGAACGACCCTGTGACTATACCATGTGGACACACATTTTGTCGTTCATGTTTAAGTAAAGAGACATCCAAACAGTGCAAGAATTGTGGGACAGTAAACCATTATCTAAATGTTTCAAGGATCAAATCGAACATTTTATTAAGTCAGGTCGTTGAAAATTGGTTTCCGGATCATTGTAAAGCGGTCAAAATTAAAAAAGACGCAAACTGGGCTTTTCAGTCGTGTAACTTTAAGGATGCGATAAGTCTATATACTAATGCTATTGAAATGGGTGAGTTTTTCATCGATATTTTGATTAAGAACAATGTACAATCTTTTATTTAAAATTGTTTAGGTTATGTAACCGAAAAAGTCTTTCATAATCATCAATATCATTAGACGCTTTTCATTATTCAGGTGAATAAGCGTTCAGTCTTTAGCGGTGTTAAAGTAGATTTCTACTCCATATAATTGTCTACTTTCATTTTACAGGGTATATTGAAAATGTTGTTAATGTTTATTTATTTATAGAAACTTCAAGTCTTTAAATGTATGGATATCACTGTAAATTTGTGGAAAGACGAGAAATTTAAAGAACTTTCTGTTCGACAAGGGTTGTAAAATTTAGTTTAGTTTCACATACACTTGGGATGTGGAGTAAGAACAAAGGCAGTGTGAAAGGGATTAAAATATCATCATGTTTATTCAAAGATTTAAAATATAATGATAAATTGATAATTTTACTCTACTATTTAAACCTAGAATAATACCACTTTGTTAAATTATAAAAGTTAGAGATTTTGGTCCAAGTTCAATCCGGTCCTACTAAAAACTGCTAAGGACTGCTAAGGACCGCTAAGGACTGCTAAGGACTGCTAAGGAGCCACAAAGGACTACTAAAGAGGCACAAAGGACCTTAAAATACCTCCTAGGCCATTCTTATATTACATGGTGTTGTTTTTAGTGAAAATTTTTTATAATTTTAAGAAAAAATATGTTTTTGGTGAAAATTTTATGAGTTGTCGGACCCGCTAAGGACTGCTCAGATACACAAAAGACTGCTAGGGGAACACAAAGGACCTTAAAATACCTCCTAGGCATTCTTATAATACAAGGTAGTATGTTTAGTAACAAAAAAATGTATTATTTTAAGAAAAAAATATCATTTTAGTGATAAAATTCATGTTTTTGAAGAGTTGTCAGACCGCTTAAGAACTGCTCAGGTGCACTAACAACTGCTACGGGAGGCACAAAGGACCTTCAAATCCCTCTAGAACATTCTTATAATATATAGTTGAGTAAATAGACAAAAATGTATTATTGTAAGAAAAAAATATGATTTTGTGATAGAATTTTATGTTTTTGATGAGTTGCAGGACCGCTAAGGACTGCACAGGTGCGAAAAGGGCTGCTAGAGACTTTAAAATATTTCCTAAGGAGGCACAAAGGACCTTAAAATACCTGTAAGGGCATTCTTATAATACATGGTAGTATGTTTAGTGATAAAATGTATAATTTTAAGGAAAAATATCATTATAGTGATAAAATTCATGTTTTTGAAGAGTTGTTGGACCGCTAAGGACTGCTCAGGTGCACTTACAACTGCTAGGGAGGCACAAAGGACCTTCAAATCCATCCTAGAACATTCTTATAATATATGGTAGTAAGATAATAGACAAAAATGTATTATTGTAAGAAAAAAATATAATTTTGGTGATAGAATTTATGTTTTTGATGAGTTGCAGGACCGCTTAGGACTGCTAGGGAAGTACTTAGTACAAAGAATCTTAAAATACCTCCTAGGGGCACAAAGGACTGCTAGGGAGGCACAAAGGACATTTAAATACCTCTAGGGCATTCTTATAGATATGGTAGTATGTTTTTTGAGAAAAAATGTATAATTTAAAAAAAAATATATAATTTTGGTGATAGAATTTATGCTTTCAATCAGTTGCAGGACCGCTAAGGACTGCTCAGGTGCACTAACAACTGCTAGGGAGCACAAAGGATCTTAAATTACTTCCTAGGGCATTTTATATTATATTGTAGTAAGTTAATAGATAAAAAAAGGTATTATTTTAAGAAAAAATATAATTTTTGTGATAGAATTTATGTTTTCGATGATTGGAGGACCGCTAGGACTGCTAGGGAGGTACAAAGAATCTTAAAATACCTCCTAGCGGGCACAAATAAACTGCTAGGGAGGCACAAAGGACATTTAAATACCTCTAGGGCATTCTTTTATAATATATGGTAGTATGTTTAGTGAGAAAAAATGTAGTTAATTTAAAAAAATATATAATTTTGGATATAGAATTTATGCTTTCAATGAGTTGCAGGACCGCTAAGGACTGCTCAGGTGCACTAACAACTGCTAGGGAGGCACAAAAGGATCTTACATTACTCCTAGGGCATTTTTATATTATATTGTAGTAAGTTAATAGATAAAAAATGTATTATTGTAAGAAAAAATATAATTTTGGTGATAGAATTTATGTTTTCGATGAATTGGAGGACCGCTAGGACTGCTAGGGAGGTACAAAGAATCTAAAATACCTCCTAGGGGCACAAAAGGACTGCTAGGGGGCACAAAGGACATTTAAATATCTCCTAGGGCATTTCTTATAATACAAGGTAGTATGTTTTAGTGACAAAAAATGTATTATTTAAGAAAAAATATCATTTAAGTGATAAAATTCATGCTTTTGAAGAGTTGTCGGACCGCTAAGAACTGCTCAGGTGCACTAACAACTGCTAGGGAGGCACAAAGGACCTTCAAATCCCTCCAAGAACATTCTTAAAATATATGGTAGTAAGTTAATAGACAAAAATGTATTATTGTAAAGAAAAAAAATATGATTTGGTGATAGAATTTATGCTTTCGATGAGTTGCCGGACGCTAGGACTGCTCAGGTGCGAAAAGGACTGCTAGGACCTTAAATATTCCTAAGGAGGCACAAAGGACCTTAAAATACCTGTAAGGGCATTCTTATAATACATGGTAGTATGTTTAGTGATAAAAAATGTATAATTTTAAGGAAAAATATTATGATAGTGATAAAATTCATGTTTTTGAAGAGTTGTCGGACCGCTAAGGACTGCTCAGGTGCACTAACAACTGCTAGGGAGGCATAAAGGACCTTCAAATCCCTCCTAGAACATTCTTATAATATATGGTAATAAGTTAATAGACAAAAATGTATTATTGTAAGAAAAAAATATAATTTTGGTGATAGAATTTATGCTTTCGATGAGTTGCAGGACCGCTAAGGACTGCTCAGGTGCGAAAAGGACTGCTAGGGACCTTAAAATTTTTCCTAAGGAGGCACAAAGAACCTTCAAATTCCTCCTAGAACATTCTTATTATATATGGTAGTAAGTTAATAGACAAAATTGCATTATTGTAAGAAAAAAATATAATTTTGGTGATAGAATTTATGCTTTCGATGAGTTGCAGGACCTCTAAGGACTGCTCAGGTGCGAAAAGGACTGCTAGGCAGGCACAAAGACCTATAAATATTTCCTAGGGAGGCACAAAGGACCTTTAAATAACTGTTGGGGCATTCTTATAATTCATGGTTGTATGTTTAGTGACAAAAAATGTATAATTTTAAGAAAAAATATCATTTTAGTGATAAAATTCATGTTTTTGAAGAGTTGTCGGACCGCTAAGGACTGTTCAGGTGCAAAAAGGACTGCTAGGGAGGCACAAAGGACCTTCAAATCCCTCCTAGAACATTCTTATAATACATGGTAGTAAGTTAATAGACAAAATTGTATTTTTGTAAGAAAAAAATGTAATTTTGGTGATAGACTATATGCTTTCGATGAGTTGCCGGACCGCTAAGGACTGCTCAGGTGCGAAAAGGACTGCTAGGCAGGCACAAAGACCTATAAATATTTCCTAGGGAGGCACAAAGGACCTTTAAATAACTGTTGGGGCATTCTTATAATTCATGGTAGTATGTTTAGTGACAAAAAATGTATAATTTTAAGAAAAAATATCATTTTAGTGATAAAAAATGTTTTTGAAGAGTTGTCAGACCGCTAAGGACTGTTCACTTGCAAAAAGGACTGCTAGGGAGGCACAAAGGACCTTCAAATCCCTCCTAGAACATTCTTATAATACATGGTAGTAAGTTAATAGACAAAATTGTATTTTTGTAAGAAAAAAATGTAATTTTGGTGATAGACTATATGCTTTCGATGAGTTGCCAGACCGCTAAGGACTGCTCAGGTGCGAAAAGGACTGCTAGGGACCTTAAAATATTTCCTAAGGAGGCACAAAGAACCTTAAAATAACTGTAAGGGCATTCTTATAATACATGGTAGTATGTTTAGTGATAAAAAATGTATAATTTTAAGGAAAAATATCATTTTAGTGATAAATTCATGTTTTTTGAAGAGTTGTCAGACCGCTAAGGACTGCTCAGGTGCACTTACAACTGCTAGGGAGGCACAAAGGACCCCTTCAAATCCCTCCTAGAACATTCTTATAATATATGGGTAGTAAGTTAATAGACAAAAATGTATTATTGTAAGAAAAAATATAATTTTGGTGATAGAATTTACATTATGATAAATTATCAAATTAATAAGAGTCAATCAATTGATAATATATACAAAATAAAAAATACTGTATTTGAAGAGTGATTAGTTACAGATGTACCCATAGATCTGCATCCAGGCCACACCACGAGGAGGTACTCTTCCCATGGCCCAAATTAATTTTTATTTACTTAAATGCAATATTTATTTCAAAAATAAAGATATCCGAAACCTACTTAAGGTACATGACCCTAATAGACTATAAGAAAATGGAAAATTAACAACATAGGTCTGATATATACATTAAAAGACACCTGTAGAAGGTGAGATTATAGAATGTCCCTTTTTCAGAAATAATCTACAATTATTATCCCCCGCCGATGGAATCGGGAGGGGGATATAGTTTTGGCGTTGTCCGTCCGTCCTTCCGTCCTTCCGTCCGTCCGTCCATCCGTCCGTCCGAATTTCGTTTCCAGAGTAGTTCTCTGCAACTAATGGCTGGAATTCAACGAAACTTTATGGGAATGTTGATCAGCATGTGAAGTTGTGCACCTGGGTATTTTCGTCTGGATATTTTTAGTATTTTTAGAGTTATTGCCCTTGACTCAGTAAAATTTTGTCCGAATTTCGTTTCCGGAGTAGTTCTCTGCAACTAATGGCTGGAATTCAACGAAACTTTATGGGAATGTTGATCAGCATGTGAAGTTGTGCACCTGGGTATTTTCGTCTGGATATTTTTAGTAT